AAAATACCCTGACTTAAACATTATGTTAAACCACTCTTTGTGCACTACAAACGATCAATACAATCAAGCTATCTCTAAGGATTATTATCAATGATATTGTTAGAATCCTAGCAAGGAAATGTATGTGCGACAACCAGAGAAGAAATGACGTCACAAGAACAGGCTGAATCATTCAAGTGAAGATTCCGAACCTATATGCGATGTTGGTGTAAGAACTAGTAAAGATTCCCCACTCTATGAATTCATGAATTGAATCACGTACTGAAGATATTATCTTCTTTACTCGAAATGAAATCAACCATAGTGTTACATCAAACCCGTCATTATCAAGAACGTATCTGGATATATTCCAAAATCGATGAAGAAAGTTGAATACGACAAGACGTATATGAAACGCCACTTTAACGTTATCACCTGTGGATACGAATTAATGCAAAGACTCATTAACGATAATGAGATCTACCATGAAGTGAACGAAGAAATGTTTCGGCATAAGGTCGATAAATGACAAGCTACTGTACAACCGATCGACAGTACCTCCTCATAAATGATGACAAATCCCATATTCTGAAAATCCTAAACCAATAAAAGCCATTAAATATTACTTACAAGTCGTTGCTGAACTGTGAACGATGTGAAGATGTTTCGATGACTTATAAGATTACGCTATGATGTATGAATTAAACAACCTCCAAATACTCCACTACATCTATCCCGAACTTGAAACAACAAGGACTTTCAATCAAAAGGAGAATATCGTTAACCAACGTTGTACAATTGGATATTAAGAATGAACGAAGTTTTGTTCAAGTATGTCAAGTATACAACCCTACACACCACGAAAAAATATTAGTTGTTGATATTGAAGAATCACTGAGTGCCAGGTGGAATTAAAGATTATTAATCTTTTGAAGAAAGAACAAGTTTGATAACATCGACAGTTTGAGAAAACGTATCTGTATGGATAATGACGTAATTATGGTTTAACCAAATGAACATGACACGGTCATGATTAAGTGAGATCACTACGAAATGTTGAAGGTTTGACCTTATAAGAATTTCGAGGACGAAATTCCTTTTTGAGGGGGGAAGAAATGTAACGCCCCAAAATATACCCTAGAATTATTAATGAATAAATAATCAATTAATCAAATTTGTTTTGATTAAAATAAATTATTGTTGGGCTTTGGGCCGATACGAAATTTGTTTTGACATCTAATATCAAAATCTGGATAAGTCTCATAGAGATAAATCCAATATGTGGACTATTTGTGTGGTCTTGATTGGGAACCTGAGTACAGACCCAAATCAAGAGTAAATAAAGAATTTGTTTAGAATGTAAATATTGAAATGATTTGTTGAAATAAATCATGAGAATAATTGATATGAATTAAATGAGAGAACCTTTTATGAGAAAGGTCAATTAAACCAATTTT